CTAACCAATTCACAATTCTAGTAAACAATTATATCAAAATTCATTTGATATATTCATATTCATTCACACAACATGGTCATAATCTAAATACAGAAAAAATCCATGGGGTATGTACTGATTAGATCTAGCTCTGAGACGCGTCCGCTCGTTTAATTGTTATTTAAAGAAAGTAAGATCTAATATTTTTGATACAATTTTGATCATAATGAGTGGCAAAATTAGAGTCTGCAATCTAAAAAATGTTGTTTTAACAAAAGAAAACTATGATAACTATCGATGTAAACATTTTACAATTCCACCTATTTGTTCATTAATTGAAAAAAACGTTTCTTTTTCTAATCAAAAAGAAGAACTCCATGAAGAATTAAGAAAAATTAAAGATACTAATAAATATGACGATGATTTTTTTAAAGCAGCTCAGAAATATATTAATTTTATTAGTATAATTTTATTATTATTATTATTATTATTATTATTATTATTTAACTAGCTAGTGATGAATGATTTTTTTAATCGTAATAGAAGGAAGCAGTTCAACAGATGAATTATTAATAGAAACCCCACTTAGAGAATCCTTTGTAAATCTTGAAGAAATTATTATCTCTGACAAATATTCAAATAATTCATCAGAATCGTACCCTGACCAATCAGATATTCAGTCTCAGGATTCAGACGACGATAGCGCAGTATTGGTTATTCAGAAAAATTCAAAGCAAATATTAAAAAATGAGGTTTATAAATTTCCAACTTCAAGTCATAATACAAAATTAATTAGCGAATATTCAAATAAGAATTTTTAACAACAGCAACAAGCAATTTATATTTGTCATAACAATAATACTAATCAGTCTAATAGGACTAATAATGATAATATATATATCAATTAAAAGAATAGCGAAATGAAATTTTCTAAAAATTGTATAACAACAAAATTTTTGTTTCCTCTAAATCCTGGTCTCGAAAAGTGATGAAGACTAAAAATTAATACTGTACGTAAATATTTGTATTTACATCTGAACAGAAAAGCAAAATAATAATAAATTTAAAATAAACGAACGAGGCGTATGGTTTATAAAATCATTCATGTTGTCGCATTTGGTTTGACCAATAAAAGTGCAGCAACGTGACTTGTGAAACTTGGCATTTGTTTTTCTCTTAATAACCATTGGCCTAACTTAGATTAATACGGGTCAAATCTATGATCAAGTTACTGCACTATACAGAATGGATCCCGTGACTAATGTTCTACAAAAGATCTGGGTCTGAATCCAGACCTTTATTAAGATCTGCCTGGTCTGGTCTGAAACATAAGCTAGCTTTTCTGTTTGGTTAAAAATATAGGTAACAAAGTGATATAAAAGTCGAGCAGAGTCATCAGAGATTTATAGAGAACAATATTTTTTTATAAGTTTTTTAGAGACAGACCAGATCCGGATCCATAACTTGGATCCAGACCAGATCCGGATCTTTAAAAAAACTGCCCGGTCCGATTCATGCGGAACACTACCCCTGACCGTCAAATGAAATAATTTTACTATTTAAAAAATTGAAGTATAGAAATTTGTCTAAGGAATTAATATTTTTGTTTATTTAATACAATTTAATTTGGTAAATTAAACTTAAGCCGAAACAAATAGATATTTATTCATCTAACCATATATCAATTTTTGAACAAACCAATTCAACTACATAAGATAAAAGTAGTAAACAAATAATGTGTACGGTCTATTACATCACGAGATCCCAATTTTGCCAAGCGATAAATATGATTTTCAATTTCAAATAAGGCTGTAAATATACAGAATATAATAATTAATGCTGTATTTTAATCAAAAAATTTTGATGGAATGGATTATAAATACCAGATAACCAAAGCCATCCAATGCATTCCAAATTGAAAAACCAAACCAAGTTATCGAATCCAATGTAGTTCAAAATACAAATAATGACCAAAAAAAGTGTATGATTCTTATAATATTGGAGGATATGTGCATAATTCTTGAGGATAATACATTTAATTCCAAATAAGACTGCACAATGAAAAAATAATTAAAATATATATGAGAAATATATGTAAAATGCATTATATTTACCAAATACACAAAACCATCTAGTAAAACTCAAACTGAATCTAATGTGTTTCAAATAAGAAAGCCATTCAAAGTTAATGAAAAAATACCATTTATACATAGAAGTTACTAATCTCCCAATGAATCCAAGTTCTCTGATAATTGTATTGTCGAATAAAATCAGTACTACAAAAAAGATAAAAATTATAAAGTTCATTTTGCAGAAATAAATCACATCATGGCTCCTGTAAATAGTCGAATATTACTGTGGAAATCAAAGAAAAAAAATAACAAAAATGAATAAAATTAGGTTTACAATTCGGGTATTAAGAATATGGATTTCATTCTAAGTCCAATTGAGAGTCCTAGCAATAAAACTATTGCCTAAAAGAAAGATATAGATTTAGTATGCAATAAATTAAATAACAAGAAATCAAAACATACACATACAAGAAATAAACTGAATCGCAATTTGTTATTAGTTGTCTTGGTGGCGATAATGTTGCTTATTATTAACCAAAGACTTAAAAACAATGGTAAATAATTCGCCTAATTAATTAAAACAATGCGATAAATTAAAATAACAATATATTATATTTTAAGATGCCCACAATTAAAAACTTACTAATGGTGTTAAGTAAAGTTCCTTGTTTAAACCAAACAATTTTAGATTAGTGCAATTCAGTATTTAAGAGTAAAAAAATTAAATAAAATATATGTATATTAGTTAAATAAAAACTTGTAAGAGCCTCAAATCTTTTATCGATTAATAATTGCAATACAGCAAAAGGACAGAAAATTATGAAATTCGCATTGCAGACATCTGCCACGTATGAAAAGAAGTTTTCGATCCAAAATCCAAATTCTAGGACAAATGCTAATACCTAATGGCAATTTAAAGATCAAAAAATCTTAAGTAAATGCTAACATGATTTAAATCTAAAATGAACATACCATAATATAATATTCAAACAAGTATAAACTCCGATAACAAGAATTGTAAAATTCAAGTAAACTTTGAATAAATGGTGTCGTGCAGCTTGTGTATTCATTTTTACGAGTCAGAAAATTAAAATTTGGGCAATCAGCTCTATTTATTAATATATAAAACATTTTACAATAAAGAAAACACAAAGCAAGTTTTTATATACAGTACTCGTATTAGTATATTTAATATATATATACTGTACACTAGTTTTCCTATATATAAATATTGCAGATCCTAAATATTTTTAAACTTAAAAATTTGCCATTGTAATGCCTTTATCTTTTTATATTAAATATAATATATACTGTTGATAAAGACGACGATTTTTTCTTTTATATACAAATTATTTACTTCATTGTTAATTCAATTTAAATTGTAATTAATTATTTTTCGAATATACGTATTTGGTAAATTAATTCTAAGTTGGTTTTTTTTTTTAAATTGAATCTATTTTTATCTCACTTTATTTGTCTCTTTAGAAGTAGTTCTTTTGTAGTTCTTTTTGGTGATGATTTTTTCTTCTCTGTTTTTCATTCGTTGCTTTAATAGTGTTAATACTTCTGTCTTTTGTCATTTTGACAATTATTTTATAGTTTTAGTGGTTTTGAAGTATTTTTATTTTTAGGGATGTTAAAAAGTCCGTCTGGTCCGGTCCTTAAAAAGTCTGGTCCTAAACTAGTTAGGAACTAGTTCACAACCCTGTGTGAAACTGGTTCAGCCTTTGCAATTTAATAGGTTTATACAATACATATACATACAATATATATCATATATATCAAATATAACGGTAATTTTCTGAATTTTGATAATCACTTTTTTTTATTAAAAAATTTAAAATTTATTATAAAAAGAGACGCATTTAACAAATATTAAACTTTTACTTAAAAAAATTTAAAATCAGTTTTTGCCAACCCTGAATCATACCATGTCTTTAAACAAAGACTCACACATACCTTTTCATCATCTAAGTGGTTTTGTACTGGACTTAAAGTATACTTAGCAACCAAAAAAGCCTCCTCACTTGGAACACTGGTTGCCTGTGCAATAAAATAATCATGAGCCATGTTGACAAGAGGTAACCATTGTGGATTTAAGGACTTTGATTTCCAAAATGCAAGAGTGTTTACATCCTCATCGGGTATGTTCAAGTACTCATCTAACACATTACAATTACATAATATTTCATTATAGGACCGCTTTAGTTGGGCTCGAAAGTAGTTATAAGCTACATTAGTTGATTAGTTTCCAAAATTTGATTACTTGTATTATCAACAGGGGGCATAGCTTTGATATGTTTTATTAACTATCTGACACACATTGTCTTTTTCAAAACTAGATCCAAACGTAGAGAATTTAGACGATGGATCAAGTAATACTGCTTCTGGAAGGGTGGACTGTAATTCATTCCAATACTTGTCAAGTTTCTCAAGAATTTTTTCAGCAATTCGAGATTTTGAATTTTTTTTTCATTTTTAGCTTCAGTCAGTTGCATTATAATTACATAAAAAACTGTACGCACATCTTCAATAGTTGGATGGCTTGATGAGGAAAGTAATTTCGTAGCTTCATAAATGGGTTCTAGCAGCACCATTATAGTATTAATATTAACCCAATCTTGATCAGTCATATATAAACTTTTAAGTTGCGGTACCGAAGCCACTAATATATCTGTCATTTCCCGGATTCTACACAACTTATTTAACATCAAATATAGTGAGTTCCACCTAGTCTCACAGTCAAGGTCAGATACAAGGAATGGCTTGTTTTTCATTAAAAAAATTTTTTTTAGTTCTTCTAGATATGGTTGGGAACACCGAATTGTACTTGCAAAATTCCGGGCCTTTTTTGTTGACTTATCAACTTCAGAAAGGCTATTCGTGACAGCAAGATTAAGTATATATGCGGCACACCTCAATCGGCTAAAAGCAGTATTTTCATAGTGAAATTTTAATATACTTGTAAATCGCCAATCACAGACATCCATATTACTAGCGTTATTAGCGGTCATTGATATAAGCTTTTTTCCTAAACCAAAGTCTTCAATTAGGTTGAAGATTGTTTCTGCCAAAAACACACCCGTGTGTCATTCGTGAAGTAGGATGAAATCTAGAAGTATACGTTTTATCTGCCATTGGTCATCGATCCAATATAATGTGATTGACAGGAATGATTAGTTTGTACATGAAGACCATGCGTCAGTTGTTATTGAAACTTTATAGCCAAATTTTCTGAAATAGCTACGTAGCAGCCCTTGTTCATGCTTATACAATCGCCAAACGTAAACCGAAATTGACTGCCTTGTAGGTATTTTGTAATGAGAATTGAGTTCAAAAATAAGCATCTGAAAGTCCTTATTTTCAACAACACAAAATGCTTGCTGATTGCAGACAATCTATCGAACAAGAAGGTCATTTAGTCTTTTTATTTTCTCTTTATCATTAATGCTGTAATGCGTTACAGCCTGTGGTTGTTGACATTGATCATATATTTTTTTATAGTTACTTTTAAAATGGCACTTGATTGTACTAATACCAGAACCTCTTCCTTTTGAAGGTTTGCATAATTTACAATAAATCCATTTTTCATCTTCAGATACTGTAAAATAAGACCAAAGAGAGTGTACATTTTTATATCGCTTAGAACTATGTTCGTCTAGTCCTTCAGAATTACTATCATAAATTTGATCAATATTTAAGAAATCCTTCTCTGGAAAAGAAGAAGTATTACAGGTAGGTGTAGCATT